AGCTCATCCCAGAATGTGCCATGTGTTTGTGTTTGGTGTCTAAGAAAACATCAACTGCCAAGAAAACCAAAAAAAGAAGAGACGAAACTAGAATTCCTGCAGGACCACATGGCGCAGAACCTCCAAACTAAATATATAGCATCAGAGGAAAAAAAAAGGTAAGAGATCACTATAAATAAATCTGCTAGAGAACAAAGAGTAACAGTCCACAAATTGCAACAGAAGACCAAATTCCAAAATCCCCATAAAAGCCTCCAACCAGTTTCCTAGACACCACGATATATATATATATATATATATATATGTGTGTGTATGTATGTATGTATTTTTTATTTTTTCATTCAACGTGAAGTTGACACGTATAGGACTTTATATATACATGCATGAAAACAATTAACTGTGGAAACTTATAATATTGAGTATAAATTAGAGCCAGTCTTTCAACTGGTCCTCAATGCCAGGCCACTTTCTTCTTCTATCTCATTTGCTAGTTTTTCTTAAAAGTGCTTTTTGGTAATTTTCTCAGAGCAAAGGCATGGAGCCAATTCACTGGTTTATGGTCCTGTGGATCACATTGAGTCTAATGATCTTCCAAAACTCAAGCAACGTGGAAGGAAGATATCATTTCCACAAGAGGAACAAAAACTCCCCTGCTCCTTCCCCTGACACTGGAGAGCCAGTTGCTCCTTCAACTCCAAGCCTCAGCCCTCCTCCCCTTTCAAATGTGCCCTCAGACCCTTACCCTGAGGACCCTGGAAATAATTCTTCTGGTTCTTCAGATTGTGTGTTCAATGTCATGAATTATGGGGCAGTTGGTGATGGCTCTGCTGATGACACTGCTGCATTTAGAGCGGCTTGGAAAGAAGCCTGTGCTGTAGAATCTGGTGTGGTTTTCGCTCCTGCAGATTACAGCTTCAAAATTACTTCAACCATCTTCTCAGGTCCTTGCCAGCCTGGACTGGTATTCCAAGTAAGATTTTTTTTCTTTTTCATTTTTCTTTTACACAAATGTCTTGTGTTCTAAAATAAGTTCATCTAGCTGTCAATGACAGTTGTTGCATTAATCAAAATAATTGAAAACGAAAAGACCCCATTTTGGGTTTGGAGTAAAACGTCTCAGTTTTAGAAATAAGTGCAATTATCAACACACAAAAAACACTAGTAAAGTGATTAATAGCAGTTACTTCTATACCGAGAGGTCCTTTTCAAATCTCCCCTCCTTAATATCGCTTGTGTCGGAAAAAAAAAACAGCAGGAAAGGATCCAAACTCTTAAAACTACATTGCTGTGAAATTTGGTTCATTAATTAATTTTCTAAAATTGGTAACTAAAGTTCAAAAGTGAAACAGGTAGATGGGATTCTGATGCCGCCGGAGGGGCCTCAGACTTGGCCTAAAGGAGACAGCCAAAAACAGTGGCTTGTGTTTTACAGACTTGACCAAATGACTTTCACTGGGAGTGGAACCATTGAAGGCAATGGCCAAAAGTGGTGGGATCTCCCATGCAAGCCTCACAGGGTAATTTAATTCACCAAGCAGCTGGTCCTATCTTTTATTTTACTTTCTTTTAATTTTATTTTTCATGTAAACTTTTTGGTTTTTAAATGCCAATATTAACTCTGATCTTATTACTACTTCAGGGTCCTAATGGATCCACATTGCCAGGACCATGTGACAGCCCTGCTGTAAGTAAAATTACCCACAGTCAAATTCAAGCAGCAGTTATAAATGTGTTGTAAAATTCAGTCATGGTAACTTGTTCTTCTTGTTTTTTTTTTTTTGGTTTGAATTGTTCAGTTAATTAGATTCTTCATGAGCAACAATTTGGTGGTGAGAGGGTTAAGAATCCAAAACAGTCCTCAGTTCCACATGAAGTTTGATGGCTGTGAAGGTGTACAGATTGAGAAGCTGTCCATTTCCTCACCGAAGCTTAGCCCCAACACAGATGGGATCCACATAGAGAACACAAAATCTGTTGGCATATATGACTCTGTGATTAGCAATGGTAAGAAAATGGAAAATGTTTTTTTATATTTAAAATTTACCTTTTGTATTATCATGTGTTAATTATATATAATTAATTAATAATTTAGCATGATTTAAACAGGTGATGATTGCATTTCAATAGGAACAGGATGTGCCAATGTTGATATAAGAGGTGTCACTTGTGGGCCAAGTCACGGGATTAGGTATGATATACTCTCTCAATAAACATCTCTCTTTGGTTGCCGCCTGCCCATTACCATCCGTTTTGAGTCCAAAAGTGCCCTTCTTAACTTCTTCGGCAAAAAAGTTGGTTATCATTTGGTAATCACTCTAACAGTTGGATGGGCTTTAACTTCACCTTTTTTAAACAAAAACTACATGAACAACTTTTTTCAACGAGTAATGTTAAAGAGATTACATTTTCAAATTATGTGACGAATGAAATAAATTCTATTTACTATATACAAGATGATCAATTAATGTGGTCACTCTAGCTAGTATTATCCGGTTTCATTTAGTTTTCAAATGCTTCTTAAATCACCATTAATCACATTCTATTTTCTGCAGCATTGGGAGCCTTGGTGTGCACAACTCTCAAGCATGTGTTTCCAACATAACAGTGCGTGACGCTATCATAAGGGAGTCCGATAACGGAGTCAGAATCAAGACATGGCAAGGCGGGACGGGCTGTGTATCCGCCATAGTATTTGAGAACATTCAAATGGAGAACGTGATGAATTGCCTACTAGTAGACCAATATTACTGCCTATCAAAGGCCTGTCGAAACGAAACTTCAGCAGTTTTTGTCACAGACTTGACATATAGAAACATAAAGGGCACATATGATGTGAGGAGGCCTCCAATTCACTTTGCTTGCAGTGACACGGTGGCTTGTACAAACATCACACTCTCGGAAGTTGAGCTTTACCCACACGAAGGAGAGTTGATGGATGATCCATTTTGTTGGAATGCTTATGGGACTCAAGAAACAGCCACTATACCTCCAATTGATTGCTTGCAGGAGGGAGATCCTGAGAGTGTGGCTGAGGTGTCCCAGTATACTTGCTAGGGTAAAATTTAATTTACTTTTGGGTTGGGTTATTTCTATATTTATAGTAAAATTTACTGTTTTACTGTATAGAGCCCAAGAGCCATTTATCTGATATGGGTCTTGAAATTTACTACTTAGGCTCCCATCCCTATTTGGGCTTTCCCCCTTATTGTGTGATGATGTGATTTACCATTTGGGTCTTCTTCTTTTTTGGCCCTACAAATATTGTAATGAGATTGGGTGCTTACATGTATTGGCATTATATGGATAATGGATTTTTAGTAACAGTTAAGAATTTCATGACTACCTATGTGTAGCGATTAAATGGATGCTCTCTCTTTTATAGTAATGTGAAGGGTGTACGTTTAATCAACCCAACCTTTGGGTTCTAGCCTTGTCCATTAGCACCATATGTGAAAAATATCAACAAAACATGTTCCACAAGCATCCAACCGGATCAAATTTGCCCGTAAGTTTTAGCTCAAGTGATGTAGTTGGATAGATAAATGGTGGGTGATGTTATTTTGTCAGACTTATAATGCAAAAAAAGATTGTATTATTATACTGTAAAATCTAGATCATACGTTCAAATAAGAACATACGTAATCGATAGTCCAAAATTCAAATGTTCCCAAAAAATAAATTCTCAAATTGAAGTCTTGATTTTAGCCAAAAAGAAAATTAAAGGCTCAAACTCAAAATGGATGATAATAGAAAAAAAAAACATTAAAAACAAAAAAATGAAGAATAAAATGCATGATTGGCCAACAGGGTCTAGCCAGGTGGAATTGACTTGCATACCAGTGGTCTTAAGTTTAAACTCCCATGACACCTTGATAGTGCGTGTGAGAGATTTCCCCTTCCAATATTTTAGATTAACATTAAAGCTTGTTTAAAAAAGAAGAAGAATGACTGCTGTACGACATGTCGTCTGTATTGAGATAACCTTGTATTAGCACGACCCAACGACGCAAATAGTCAAAGCATTTCCGCTGCAGCAGTCGAATTGAGTTTTGCCGTTGGGCTCTAAGTCACCGACTCACTCTCGCACAGTCGCAGGTAACAAACACATTCTGTCTCTGCCGCTTCCACCGATTTCGATTCTTACATCTTCCTGATATCGATCTATGCATTTCATTGTTTCATCGCGGCATGCTTGAATTTGCCCGCAAGGTGTTCGACAGTTTGCCTCTGTGAATTACTGCATTGCGTTCCGGTTATAAATCCATAATATTTGACTGTGTTGATTGTGATTGGGATTTTTGTACAGGAAAAATAAGAACATGCCGTCTCTGCAAACCGCACTGCCTCCTGAGCTCGCGAATAATGTGATCAGAGTTAGTATCGGAAAAGTCTTGATTTCCTCACTGTTTATATCCAAAAATTTAATCATTTTGCTTGCCATTTTTTGAGCTTAAATGATCGTTTGTCGTTGTAGCTTTACCGCGAGTGTCTTCGAAGAGCTAAATATGTTGGTCATCGGGTATGCAAAGTTCTCTCTCACACACACCCACACACATTTTTTCGTAGTGAAAAATGTGTTTGTTGTTATTTCTCAATGAGATTTTAATCAGTTCTTAAGAAGCAATTGTCCCAGATTTTTTTAGGAAATGCATCTTCCCTGATTTTAGGAAATTGATCAAACAAATGCAGCATAAATGTACACTCTAACAAAATCTATCCAAACTTATTGAAATTGAATTCTGGTTCTTGTTTTGTTAATGATGCAGCAACACAATACGGAACTTGTGGTTGATATGGTGCGGCAGCAGTTCAAGAAACATATGCTTGAGACAGATCCAGAGAAGATTCAAAAGTTGAAGGATGAGTAAGTATATTTGATTGTTTTCTCAACTCTCATTTTCGACTTTTTTGTGTATCATGCTTCATGGGTTGATTTGAAAGCTAATTGATGACCAGTTGTTCAAATAATGTGCACAAAGACTTGCATACAGGGCATGCACGATGCATATCTTATTCAAGTTTCTTGATGGAATCTTTGTAATTCAAAATTTTAATCTGTCTTCCTTGGTTCTCAGTGCCGCAAGGGGACTTATAAATCATATACTATTCGAGTCGGAGAGGCTGTCTGGTCGTAAATTCAGCAGCTCTTGATGTCAAGGTTTTCAGTTTCTTTCTGAGGTTCCAGTTTGTTGTATTGGGTGAATTTTTGTCAGCAAAATAAGTGATACCGTCGATGTAAGATTTAATGCTATTTTGCCTTTTTATGAAGTGTGAATGCTTGGTTTCTTTGGAAGTTGTTGAAGTGGCCTTTCTGCATACCAAACAAGGAAACAAACTATAAACCTGTGCAAGTGGGAATTACCAATTTGCTATCCCAACTCATAATCTAATCATCATATGTTTCAAATTCCTATTAACATTTTGAGGAAAGCTGATGGTCGATGATGTCGGTCGATGGCCGAGCAAAACTCTGACATTTTTTATGAGAGATGTTAGAGACAATGTTGCCATATTTGATAGGAGAGGAACTTCTCCAACTGCTACCTTGCAAGTTCTCCCAAGAGAATTTCATCAAAATCAGCAACTAAACATGCACGGCATACAATCAGGCAAAACAATAGTAATGAGTAGCCAAGGGACCCACACTGCTAGTGAAGTTATGTAGAAAAAGTTTCCCACTGAGTCCCAAGTCAAATGCTGTGAAAACTACAACACAACATCATTTGATTGCAAGTGAAAACTATGGAGTAGGGACCTCATATACGCGTCAATCTTGAAGGTTAACATGAGAGAACTGTGGCCACTCTTCTTACTTTGCCTCTCAAAATCTGTGAAGGGTAATGCAAATCGCGCTAGCCTCCGCACTCTCACAAGATAGAGTCTAGTAAGAGTGCGGGAGTTGTATAGAGAGCGCGAATATAGGTTCCCGATGTGTAAAACGATGTCACCGAGCATTTTAACAGTGTCATCCTCTCCCGCAAAAGGAAATGAAGAGAGAATATTGATAACAGTTCAGACGTTGTTTCTCTGCCTTGCATTGACAAAAAAAATTTATAAGAGTGAATCTTGTAGTTGTTACGTGCATTGGAATGTTGCCTTCCAGGTTCCAGACACCATTAATTAACAAAATCATGATTCGCGCATCGATACCATCATTTTCCATTGGAAAGATGAAGATGCTACATTGTAGTCTTCTTTAGAAGTGAATTAACTTGGGCTTGGAGAACAAAAATGGATGCCAATAGGTGTATAGTTTCTTCATTTGGCCAAAAAATTATAAGTTTAAAGTTCCTTCATATTTAATAGTGGCATTGATAGATTTTCGTGGTTACAACTTACAAATCTCCTCCCATCAATACATTTCACAGATTTAGACCACTTTACAAAAAATTGCCGCATTTAGAATTAACTTAAGTAGAAGTAGGGGAAATGCCATTGCAGATTTCCTGCATGTTCACAAAACCAAACCCCCATTACTCTTAAGTACACTATAATTTGCAGGTAATACTTGCTCCATTTTTATCTAAGTTCTAAGGTTCAACCACTCTTCGCAAGATTAGATGATCTTGCTTCTCCAGTCCTTGGACTAAATTGCCCGTTTCCACCATTCTGAGGACTTGGCTCACCTCTCAGCTCACTTAAACGAGGACTGTATATCTTATCTGAGAACAGTGGGCTCTGTATACTTTTGAATTCCTTGGATGGTGTTGTAGCTGAACTTGCCATTTTAGGACTGCAGATATGCCTGATCTCGCCACGGCTTCTAGTAACTATCCCATCTAAAATCTCAACATCATCTGCAAATGAAGCTTGCCTACTCATCTCCCGCTCCTGATGTGAAACACATCAAATGAACAAGATGTATAAGTTGAAGTGAGTCGCCAAGTGGCCCTTTTATGTGTACAAATTATTGTATGCTTCTATTCTTTTTCTAAAGAGAGAGAAGTTTGCATCCAGATTGATCACACACTGATTAACCAGTTCATGAATTGTTTTGCAAATATTGCCAAAAGGCGTCTATTCAATTTCGGTTTATGCACTTCCTAAGAGGTAACACTTAAGCATATTGCAGGTCCAGTTTATTAGGAAACAGTGTGTGAGAGAATGAAAACTTACAGTTGCAAGGTTGAATGGTAAAGCAGGTGCCTCTTCATACTCTGCAGCATCTAAATCTTGGAGGTGTGCCCCTTTGAAGAACTTGGGCAAAACGTATTGTCTAACAGGAACCAGAAACATGATCATTAATGGGAAAAGAACCCCAGCAATAGGAATCCATGTAATTCCAAAGCATACAAACAAGTAAGCAGTTTGGAAAATTGTGAATGCTGCAATTGTCTTGAACGGTACTGTTTCGACAAAAGTGGCGTGGTATTCCTCAAGTACTCTGAACATGAGAATGAACATAGTTCAATTAAATTTGTTGACAAATTGGTAAAACAAAATAAAGAGTGCGTTAGGACAAAAAGGGTCAAGAGGTTACTTGTATCTTCTAGTTGGGGCCGTGAAGAGCAGTAGAATCCTCTCCCAACATTGGTTACCTGGTAAGCTCTCAACAGCCATAAAGGCAAAATAACCCCAGAGTACCGATGTAGGGATCATTTTAAGAAAAGGCATGGCTGCAACACATCCTCCTACAAAAGTAGCTTGAAGCAAGTTGCTGAGCCGCTGTTCTTTCACCTCCACAGGCAATAAATCATCAATCTCTTTCTCAACATCAAACACTGTCTCATCAACTGGAGCATTTATGTTCCCCATGCTTGAAGCCATTTGAAAAGTTGAATCCTTCAATTCCTTTAATCCCTGCTCTCAGGGTTTAGGCAAGGTTGAACAACGGTTAGCATTGTTATCATATGAATGAGCAAAAGAATGAAAAGGTGAATGGCATATCAAGTCATCATACCCGAGCTGAAGGTCCCTGGTATGTTAGTGGGGTTTGCATCTGTTGATATGCTTGTTGCATGCTTCCATATACTTGTCCCAAGCTGGCATTGTTTTTCATACATCTCCTTGCTGTCGCTACAAGTCGATTGCGTAATAACTGCATCATTGTAAAGATAATATAAATCACAAAAGAGTGGATGGTTGGCTGTGCGTCAATATGTGCATCTCCATGTTCCGAACACATTTTAATGTTTAATTTGTGCCCTTTTGGGTCCTTAAGGGTCACTGAGTTGGTGTTAAACTTACAACTTCTGGTTACTGAACAGAGAACTGTGAGGTGGAGCCACTCAACTAACGTAACTGATAGACAAGCTTTGAAAATGAAAGCATTGAAATTACTAGACTTCATTGATTCTATTCCATATGCCTACCTGGTGCTTCAGTGTGGCCAAGCTTTTCGTATGCATTGGAGATTGTGGTATGACACCATTGGATGGGGGAATGCCTATGAGACCACATATTATGACCTGTCATGTTGCAAAAACCTCTCAATCTCAAAGCAAATGGAAACCGGGTGCTTTTTTTTTCTTTCCTTTTTGCAACCACTGAAATTTCTGGCAGGAGCATTACAGAAAAAGTGAATGACGCTGTGAGGGGAATTTGCATACCATGAACCCTAAGAGAAGTAGATCATAATGGAACGAAGGTGGTTTTCTCAAATTGAATTCTTTCTGCTGAGCAAGTTGGGAAGCTACACTGTGGTCAAAATAGTACAGCACTGCAATCATTGTTGCTGGAATGAAAGCTCCAATTATATAAATCACTGGAACACTTAGCATGTCCTGTAATTTTAGCAACCATTAATATCCTCATGTATCAAGCTGAAAAACAAAAAAGACATATCAATCATGTAGAGGATGTGGCAATGCCTTGATGACAGTCCAATTCTCGTATGCTCCTGGTGACCATGGATTTGGACTGAAGAGGCGCCTTGGAATTCCTTTTGGAACATTTCCAGCAGGTATATAGGAAACAGCAGACCAGATCAACACCATCAATGGCACACCATAATCTGCTACAAAACCACGGAGCGACCCTGGGAGAAGGAAACATTTAATTGGATCAATCTCCTGTAGGATATGCAAATTAATAAATAGGCAACTTTGCATGTGTGCATGTAACTCTGAACAAAAATGGACTTACCAGACCCATACCGCCAAGACCTTGCTTTTCTGCTTTTTAAAGAAGTAAGTAGAAGGCCAAATGACAAAACCAAAGCAAACATCCCATTCGCAAATCTCCATGAAGGTTGAAATTGAACTGACTTTGGGTTTTCTCTTTCAGGTATGCGAAATTCATGAACTAGTCCCTATAAAATACAATTCAGAACTACATCTAAAAAAAAGTTGGTACAGCTAGAAAATGCAGAACAACAATTACTCCAAGTCTGCTGTCTCCTTTAACATAAATCGTAAACTACAAGTGAAATAAGGAAGCAATTTTTCTTTAAGCCAGTAAAAATTCAGGGATAGAAAGAGAAGGATGTTCCTACTTTAATAGCTTCCTGCATGAAGAGCATTGCAATGAGAAGGCCAAATAACTCTCCTGCAAGACGAGTGAATCTGTTTATAATGGAGCAAACCCCTAATATAGCCAGCAGGAACAGCAATATTGCAGTCCAGACGCACACCCTGCACATCAATGTAATAAAGGCAGATTCAAAGTCAAAAAAGAGTTACCCAAGAATTTTTTTCCAGAAAAAGGATAATTGCAAGATAGAGAGATTAATGTTAACATCAGAAATCACAATATCAATCCATTTGTTAGCACAAAGAAAAGATGATACCATCCAGTCCATGCTAAAAAGAGCTTTGATCCCAAATCCGGTCTATTTTTGGCGAAATTGAACATAAATGTGTACATAATCACAGTTGGCTCTGCAACTCCGAGAATCAGCAAAGGCTGACCCCCAAGGATCGAGTGTATAATTCCACATAAAGCAGTAGATGCTAACGTCTGAACTGCTGTGAGAACCCCATCTGCCAACACCAGAAATGGTGCCAAACCATAAATTTGAAACATTAATGCATAATGTATAAATATAGATTTATAGATTTTTTCTTATCAATCATTCGATATTAGGAGCATTTTCAACTCACGCCGAAAACCACAAGGCACTCAATGGAGTATCCGGTAGAAAATATTACCTGTATCTCTTTCTAATTGTTCACCAAATGAAATAACTGGAATGGCTGATGCAAAGAATATATAAGTAGTGGGGGCCAAAATCCTGAGACAATTAAACAAGTTAGCAAACCAGAATAATATTTCAACCAAAATTTCGCAATATTTACAGTTGAATACG